CGTCTCATTTTTTTCATCTCATGCTTCCCAAAAAATTGTGTTTAGTAAAAATTGATTTTTTTATCAGCTCAATGCTCACTCGATCTGTTCGATCAGTTCGTTCGTTCGCTCATGTATAATGATCACTCTTCTACAACGTCTTATTTCCCTATTACTATTTACAAATATAGGCAACAACAAATTTAAAAAATAGTAGATCAAAACCAAAATCATAGAATCTATCCCAAGTAAGGAAAAAAGCAGTGTTACGGGATTTGAGCAATCTTTTATAAGTGTTAATGATTTCAGTAACTAAAATATGTTTTACCATCAAATAAAATACGTTTTACCATTAAATAAAATACACCATTAAATAAAATATGTATTATTTCCGTGCATTTTCCGTAGCCAAAAAAAAACGTACCTTTATCGAAATTTCCGTACAAATTCATCACGAATTCTTTATAAGTTCCTTATGTATTACGTGCATATCATGTGCATATTCCGCACATATTCCGCACATTTCGGCGCATTTGACAGGAAGATTCTGTATCTGAAATTAAACACATATTTTCCACATCTTTTCCGTGTGCAATTTTTTATAGGGCATAATTAGCACAGGCATGGATCCTTCAATTTTTTTTGACTGCTTCTGATAGAGTAGTGTGATTTGGATGTCTTTTTTCATGAATATTGTGATAATCATCCAGGTTGTATATACAAAGATTATTTTTATTTTCATTAAAATATTTTTTTACTCTTAATGGATGTTCTTCTGCAATTTTCTTTTTATAATTATATACAGTTTTATAAGTAACTGAAACTCCAGCATTACCCGGTGCATCAATTCCATCACAAGATGTTCCTGATCCTATAAGATATAAGGCAAGTTCTAATTTAAAATTATTAGCATGTTTATTCCGGATTCCAGCCATCAAATACAAAATTGTAACAACTTTCTTTTTATCTCCTTTTTATTATATTATGAACAGTCTTCTGTATTAATATATTACATACTTCATTGGAAATCCTTTTAAATTTGGATCATTATCTTTAAGCATTTTATTAAACTCATCAGGATCGAATATAGGACTATCATGTCTCTTACTGTATAATACTGTAATCATTTTTTTTATTTTATCACCAAACAATAAATTTATGTCAGATAATGTTGAGAATGCTGGTATGATATTTATTTCAATTGGGTTGATATGTTGAATAATTTCTTCCTTTTATAGATTGAGGATTTCCAACAATGAGGAAAACAAACTTGTTAACCTTGTTGTAAATAAGGATATCTTTTGAAGATTTCCTTTGGTGGTTGCTTTTTCTATAGCTCTATCAGATAAACATCTAAAATTGTTAGAATTCTTATCACAATTGTGAATAGAGCAAGGACCAGTTAACTTTGGCTTTGGCATTTTTGAGAAAACTTACTTTTAAGCAATGGGATTTAATTGACAATCCATCTATGAATCGGTGAACTCTACATAAGGATCTGTGAAGGAAAAATATCACAAATTTTGCTAACTGATGACTTTGTATAAAAAAATGGTACTTTTTTATTTTGTGTCATGAAACTAATGTCAAAAAACCCATTTATGTATTTTTTTTTCAAGAATATTGAAAAAAAAAGTTTTTTATTCTTGGGGATGTAGAGATGAGTGAAATTTTTCATATGTAAAAAATTTTTTATGATTTTTTAATTATTTGAATAAATTTATTGTAAAGGCACTTGATCAGGTCTGAGACACTTTACTGACACCCACTTTACTGACAAGACACTTTACCGACAACTCACAGGGTTACATTTAATTCCTACACAATCAAACAAACTAACAAAATGCTAAAATAGCATGTCGTGTGTTGTCGGTAAAGTGTCCGGGTCCGCACTTGATCACTACTAAAAAAAACAGAATTGATTTCTTTATTGTCAAAAAAAGTCAATATGTCTTTTTTGAAAATGTAAAGATACTTGATTGCTACAAAATTGATTTCTTCATAAAAAAAAGCCAACATATCTTTTTGAAAATGTAAAGATACTTAGTTACCACTAAATAAACAAAATAATTCATAATAATAATTGTTTCATTATTCACAAAAAGTCTTTTTGAAAATCTAAAGATAAAAAATGGTACAATGCTAATTTTTCAATGTTAATTGAAATAACAAACACACACATAGATTCTTAACAAATAGAGTAGACAGATGCATAATAAACAAAAAAATTTTGAACACGTATGTATAACGTTAGTAAAAAAAGGGTTTCCCCAATTTTTTATAAAATTATATTTTTCATTTAATTCATTTTACACAGTTACACGGCATAATAATAATTCGACATCGTGCTAATTAATACAAAGTTAATTCGTTGGATTTTATCCGTTGACAATTAATCTTACTATTTGATAATGCATGTAGTTTTCATAATCCAAATTTGTTTGTTATCTGAATTCGTAAGTATACAATCATATTGTATGGTCTATTTATATTAGTAATCACATTATAGATAAAAAAAATATAAATAAATTAAGTTATTGTGTTATTTTAAAACTTCAAAAAAAAAAAACCTTCAAAAATGCGTAACGATAATCAAAGTTTTTCAACATTAGAAAATATCAATAAATTATTTAAAAAACTTTTAAACTCTGATAAAGATGCTTTACCATTAAAACATATTAATAAATTAGTAAATGATTTGACAGAAATGTTATCAACAGACTTTCATGATACGGAAATTATAATTGGGGAAGATGAAGACATCAAAACTTTTAAAGTTCATTCCACAATCTTGAAAGCAAGGTCTTCATATTT